CCATCCATCCATCCATCCATCCATCCATCCATCCATCCATCCATCCATCCATCCATCCATCCATCCATCCATCCATCCATCCATCCTGAATCACTTCAACTGGCTCCTCTGGATGTGAAGAAGCAGCGTCTCTAATCCGGAGAACCAAACGTCTCACCCTATCTCACTCCAGTTCATGTGAGGAAAAAATAATTCTCACTTTAACACTCTTTAACACTCTTTAACACTCTTTAAGTCTTTGAAAAATTCACTCAAAACTGATTAAATCTGACTTGTAGAAAAGCATGTAAAATGATGATCATTTGAATTCTTCATACCATGCACAGATAGTAAAAATATCAACTGAAGAGCAGTTATGGTAATGTAAGGATACAGGGATTAAAGGCAAAGCAAGGCAGAAAATTACAGATCAGCTATGGATGTAAATCAAGAAATTTGCTATTTTATAAGGAAAGCACAGAATTTTACAAATATTAAGATAAACATGAAAAAGAAAGCACAAGGAAGTGTTGATACAATTTTATTTTTTTATTAGTATTTCTTCTTCAGAATTGGGGCATGCAAAACAAGCACAGCTTAAATGATTTCTGAGTATTTTCAACTAAGTTCATTAATCTTTATGAAATGAACTTAAACTAACAACACATACAGTAGCATTGAAACTTTGGGACAGAAAATGTTATTCAGAAACTTTAGCCTAAAAAGTGTTATTTGGGTTTAAATTCTCCAATTTTAAAAAGAAGAAAACATTTTGCTTTAAAATAAAACAGATTGTAAGTTCTCGCTGCACATGAAACATCTAAAATAACCCATTTTTTGGCCAGTGGCTGCTCAGCTAAAACAAAGGTTCGCAGCAGGTTTTTACAATCCTGCAGGGAGCAGGGGTGTCTGGACCCCCACTCTTTAGAAAACTAGAAACCTCTTTAAGCCCATTTGATCATCTTAAACAAAACATCTTGATTTTATAGAATGCAGTGACATGCATTAAAAACACAGGCTATTAATGCAAAAACAAACAGTTTTAAAAGCAGGGAAACCGTGTGTCCCCCTCAGCTGTCTCCCGGTGGTTTGGTCCTCTTCACAAGGACCCCACACCCCCACACAGATTGGCCCTGGGAATAAGTGTCTTTGTGTGGACGAGGCTTTGGACGTGTCACACTGGTGCCCAACCTCCTCCTGTAAGTAAACTCTTTCAAAACTCCACTGGGAAAACAGRCCACAATTCAAAATGTTTTTCTTTTCTATTCAAACTTTTCTTAATGTTACCAGGATTTATTCACTTAATGAAATATACAGGTTGTCTTTTAATGCACAGAGGACTAAAATGCATTTAAAAGTCTTAAAGTTGTTCAAGTTTATTTGCTGATAATTTGTTATAATTGTTACATTTCTGCATGTGTAGCAGAATATAATATACAGTTATAAAATGTGGATTTAGATGCAACAACACCAACTGTTTTAGTTATATTTATCTTTTTCTTATTTTTGACATAAGTTTGATTATTTTTAATTTGCAATTAGATCAGAGAAGAATTCTTATCCCTTGTCTAATATCCAGGCTTTTTTAGTTACTCTGCACAATAAGTTGCTTTAATTTAAAATGTTTTATGTATTTGATAGGATCAGATTGATTCAGATAAACAGAGTTTGTTTTGCTCAGACCACACACTGAGGAGGAGGAGGAGGAACCGTTTCTAAAATAATGAATTCAAAGTGAATCCTGTCAGGGGTGTATTCAGCCCCTCAGCAGCGACAGGAAACTGCGTCTCAGCAGAATCAGAAATGCAATTTTTTTTCTTTTTATAAATACCAAACTGCACCTGTTCTCACATTCTCCCCGCTCCCTATACTTAGCCACATGACATTTTCCAAAGGTTTTTTTTTTCTTTCCCCAAACAAAAATTATGTTTACTCTGTTTGGAACCATCAAAAACTTTTTATATTTTTGTATTTTAGTTCTGAAAACTATCACCATGTAAACCAGCTCACATGTATTAAGTCGGCCTATTTGTCTTTGAGGCTAAGTTTAATTTTTTTTTAGTTTTAGTTAATTTTTTTTGCAGCAGTATTTGGTCATTTTAGCATCAATGCCAGCTGGTAAAACAAGTACCAGTAACTATAGACTCGGATCCAGTAAAACCTGCAGAAATACTTTTGTTTTTGAAATTAGCGCCAAAGACAAATAGGCCAACTAAATACCCACCTTTTATCTTTTTTGGTGGGAGTGTTCAGTTCTTTTGATTTTGAATTGATTTGATTATAAACAATCAACATCTTATCTGTTGTAGATCACTTTTGAATGACATCAGTTTGGAAAAAGAGAGTTTCATTTTGACCTAAGTGATTAGCTAATCTGGACATCAGTTCATATGTGTTTTCTAAAAACTCCAATCTCAAATTGTAAATATCATATCAACCGAGGGAAGGGTAATGGTTCATAAAACAGTGTTTGCATGAAAATTTCTAATTTGAAACTGAGAAAGGATTAATTTAAACATTGTTAAACTTTTATTTTTTTCAAACCCACATTGTAGAACGAAATGTTAACAACAGGTAAAATATCAATTGTTCAAAATTTTCCACATAACCCCACATTAGAAACTGTAACGCTCCTTTTTATATTAATAAAAAGTAATTAATCATTAACAGGGTTTTTGTTATTTACAGAAATATGTATGTGTGTGTATGAGTATGTGGTAAATGTAAACAATAGAAGATCTTGTGTAATTTGTGTAACAGTTAGACAAATCTACACAGTGACTCTGGTCTGTTAGCTGGATTCTGATAGTCTTGTGTTAATGTGTAACTGTGTCGTCTGTCTTATGTTGCTGCAGATGAACAATGCCCTCTGTCTCTGCTGGTAAGTGCTTGAAAGATGCTCAGGCACCATGCACTRGTGAGGAGAATCTGATACAAGCAAACAAAAAGAAGGAAGTTGCTGATATTTTTGCCAGCGGTCACAAATCAAACCCGTGCAGTGAAGACAATCATCTCAACGCTGATGATAAGTCAGGGAAGAAATGTGGAAAACACGACAAAAGTGAGCTGAACCAGGAGGGTTGYGATGACGAGATTAAATGGATCCGCCCTGATCTGCCCAGCAGATGCACATGGAGGCTTGGAGCTCCGGTTTCAGAGTCGCCTCACAGCCACCCCCCACGGTGAGATCCAGACTGACGAGTGATGAAATCAGTTTCATTAGATCAGGTTAATCAGCTGATTAAAGCAAAGACATGCAGCAAAAATGCACTGCTGCATCAGAAATACGCTGAAACTAGACTGAAACTGGTAATTTGTGTCATCTAAACCAGTGTTTCCCAAAGTTGGGGTCGGGACCCAAAGTGGGGTCCCGAAACATCAAGGT